CCGAGTCATTGACGCAACCTCGCCGGTGAATTTCATCATTGAGCCCCTAACACAATCGCCAGATTTGCGCCGTCGAAGACGCGAGACCGTATGCGTCGACCGTCTCAAGCCCTACTACGACCTCCTCATTGTGCCTACTCCCCGAGTCGCCAGGATGGCTACTCTTCACCCCGGGGGTATTGTAGTGGAGCATACACACCAACGCATATGCGCCTTCGGAAAAGAATGAAAAACCCCGTGCTCTGATTGCGCGAGAACCTGTGCCGCCTTTGCCAAACTTGCCGTACGCCCATTTTCCGTCGCGACCTCATTGCGACTCCTCTGTTTGAATAAACATCACCGCAACATGTTTTTTTTGTTCATGAAATGCAGAGACAGTATGGTATGGTTTGTAGAACTTTATTGAAGTCCTGAGGATCAGTCTAGGACTGATGCTGGCTGCTCCCACATCAGGACAGAGAGGCCAAGCCCCTCTGCCGCCACACAGGTTCGTCTGGACAGCCCTGAGTTGGTCCGCCAGCGCGTCACTGTGCAGCATTCGCTACCATCACTGTTTACCGCGAAAAGCCGTACCGGCCATTGCCGAGCAGCGCCAGAGCATGTGTTCAAAATTGAGCAAGCCCCCACGCTGACTACAATAAATGGAAACCCCGCAGTCCAGGTTAATTTTATTCATGACGACCGGGTTGGGGTACGTCGTCGTCTGCAGAAGTCTTAATGTAACTGCCAGTGGCCTTAACTGTTAAGTCTAGAATGTGGCAAGGGGAATTCCCTGTGCTCTATGTAATAATGTTTGGTTATATCATTGTGCGTTAACAACTGGTCCCTAAACTCCGGAGTGGGAGATTCAGCCGCCTCAGGGATTGCACGGCACACTAATCCTCGTGCCTCCCTGTGTGCCACCTCGTTGAGGTTACGTGGCGCTCCCTCCACTGACCCCATGTGCGCCAGAAACCAAGTAATGGTATACGGAGTGATGTCCTTACCCTGCAGCAGTCTGTACGCCGGTTCACTAATAACTCCCCCCGAGAAGGCTTTAATTGCAGAGCGAAAGTCACTAAATACTAAAACTCTTTCCGTATCAATGAGTGCTAGGGCAATAGCCACCTGCTCAGCGACCCCTGGATCTTTCATATAAACGGAAGCGGCATTTCGAATGCTCCCTTTCCCATCTACCACCACCACCGCCACCGAGAAAGCATCTTTCCCGTTAATCCATGCTGCGTCAACAAATGCAGACTCTTCCTCCTGATCCTTTGCCTCGCGTAACAAAGCCCTAGCTCTCCCCATTCTTCTCCTTACATTTAGGACATGGTGCACATTTCGCGGAAACGGACGAACCACGATATTAGCCCCGATGTTCGCGGTTAACTCGTATAGGCGCGCACCATCACAAGTCACCACCGATTGTCCGATTCACTGTAAGATATACCTACCAGCTGGTGTACCCAGCAACTCTCTCTGTACTATACGCTAAGCCTCGGCAATTTCATCAAGAATATTTATGCAAACCCAGCCGCAACAACATATCATTTGACGTACTCACAGGCAAACCGAGCGCCGCCTTAACGGCTTTTCTAATTAAAGCTTCCGATTTGTCTTTCTCGCCTTTTTTTTTCCAATTTAGCAGAGCAGCTACATACGAAAAATGGCACAAAATAAATGCGTGAACCAAGAGCATCGCACCTTCTCCTAATCCTCTATGCCTGTTAGAGATCCTTTGGATAAGTCTTATGGCCTCCTGTGTTTTCTTGGTAATACACTGCATAATTGTAATATTCGATCCATTTGCTTCAATTACAAAACCAAGGACCCTGATAGTATCGACTTTTGGTACCAATGGCCATTGCTAGTACGAACTGTGATACAAGTCTCAACTTCCGGTAACCACTTCTTCGGCCTACGACCTAACTTCTTGGATTTGAAGATTAACAACTCCGACTTTTTGGCAGAGCACTTGAGCGCCATACAAGCCAAACAGTTTTCCGTAAGCGTTACCACCTCCTGCAGCCTAGCCTCAAGCGCTCCGTCACTACCGCCGACACTCCATACTGTGACGTCGTCCGCGTAGATAATATAGCCAATACCCTCGACAGTGTCCAGTACCTTAGCTAGCTTTGACATCGCCCGATCGAACAACATTGGCGAGAGTATAGATCCTTGTGGTGTACCACAACAACCCGATTTGAAGACTGAAGACTTGATCTCCCCCAACCTGAGACATGTCCTTCTATCCTCAAGGAAAGCCTTAACAAAGAGAAAAAGCCGTTGCCCCAGATTCAAGTCTGACAGCACCTGTAGAATGAAGAAGTGTCGGAGATTGTTGAAAGCTTTTTCCACATCAAGTCCAAGTAGTACCTTAGTATCCCGATCAAATAGGTGATGCTTAATCCTTCGCATGGCATCTCGAGTCGAGAGGCCGGGACGATAACCTTTCAGCGAGTGCGAAAAGACCGCATGGTCCTCAACATAACGAGTTAGCCTATTTAAAATGACATGCTCAGCGACTTTCACCAAACACGATGTTAGCGAAGAGGCGGTGTTCATGTGTAATTCTAAAACACATTAGCTGAACAGATGACCACTGAGCTTGTATTCAGGCCCTTCCTGCTAAATTACGCAGCCTGCTTGAGCACTTTAACTGTGCATCTAGAGTGCTCTAAAGTGAAGCTGATATGCAGCAACACAGATGCTAAATGATCACAGCTGAAAAATTCTTTTAGACAGTGCAAGGAAAACAAGCATGAAGAAATACCAAAAGGGTTGGCACTCATCTAGGTTGCTCTTCCCATGTTCTTGTGTTTCTTACGCTGTTTTCAAGACAAGCCCAAACAAACGAGCACAACTTTCTGTTCCAAGAGAGTAGCCAAAGGGTCTTCTCATTCAGATTCTACTCACTTGCTCCTACCCAGCATGCTGAGAATTGTGCACACTCAACACAAGGCGATGATAACTGCTGAAAGATGAGCATGTTCTGAGAATAACCATTGCAAAACATCCTTGGGCCACTTCTCAGTTACAGATAAAGATGTCAGTCAGATTTCCCACCTTCAAAAACCATGATAAGTGTCCAGCCAGAAGTTGTAGTTATCTGCCCCGAGTTGATAAATCACTAAAATTTACAAGTATTCCAATCAGATGATGACATAGGCACGAGCAATGCAGTGTATCTAAAGCACAAAGCCAAAATGAAAATGTGAAGAGGAAGGAGAAATGATAACTTGTCATTATTTTAAGCATCCACTATCTTTATTCTTGCATTCCTCAATGGCCTAAATGCTGCCACACTACATTTACTGCCATGAGATGAAACAATTTAAAATTCAGTTATCTGTGTTGATGCAGCAGAACGGGTTTTGTTAGGCATATTCTAAGCCAGGGAGTGGTCCACCGCTCTCACATCAGCATATGATGGAAATGAACATGAAAGCCAGTTTCACTTTGACACAATAGCACATTATTAGATGCGTGAACAGCTTTCTAATTCTTCTTTGTGTGCTTTGCTCCCACATTTGCCAGAATCATGAATATCGTTCATTGCACAATTAGAAATACCATTAAAAACAACATTCTACGGCACTAGTTTTTAACTAAGTCACTTGGTTATGACGCAGCGAAAGCTCATTGACTGGAGCGTACCGTTTACTTGAATTATCCCCTTGGTTGAGGCACAGCCCTGTGTACTTCTAAGGGCGAAAACTCCGGCTAATTCGAACCCGCACGTATTCACAATGTTTAATTCGAACAGAGAGCCCCCGGCTTTTATCGCTCCTCGCAAAAGTCGACCCCCAGTGATCACACCGAGTTGCTAAACCAAACTGAACCAAGTTTACAAGAGATTCAAAACAACAAAACGCATTTCTCCGCAGATCAGAATTCAGATGTCCCACTGGAGCTCCCGGGCAAGCTGCAAAAAATGCTCAAGGAGTCGTGACAGAAGCGCTTATGCAAATGACTGATTACTTCATTTTAATTGCAGTAACTCTGCCATGTAAATGAATCGTGTTTTGGGGCATATGCAGACAGTACGGCTCACTTCTGACATGAATGCATGTCGCTGCTCACTTCTGGCATGCCACTGACTGACTGATCAGTTATTTCTGCATAAACTTAAAGCCTAGTGAACTTAATTCACGAAATCACCTGCCCCAAACACGTAGTACTGCCTAACTGGCAATGAAGAGTTCAGAGGTGGCTTCTTTGGGTCCCGCCTGCGCAGTGTGGCGCGCTGTTTGTGTGTCATAGCACCCGCCTGCTAGGTAGGCAATTTTGAAATCCCCTAAGAGTTCGAATTTACAAGCTTTTACTGTACACGTAGGCCACGAAATAGCCTGCAGGCTACAAAAAAAAGATAAGGGCAGACACCCAGCTAGAGAGAGTACAACAGATTTTTGTACATTTCTACATGCTATCTTTCAGGCAGTGGCGCCGAGGCTTGTCATGGCGGCAGTGAAATGATAAATGTCCGAAGTCCAATATGTGAGCAATGGCTTCACCCTCTCACATTCTTCGCGCCAAAAATTTAAAAAAGAATCTGTTTGTCGCAGATGGTCTTGGCACACTTTGAAAACGCCTCACACTCCTAGAATGCGTGCGTGTAAAATGCGGCGTATTCGGCCTAATTTCAAGTTCATCCACCAGTAACGGATGCGGCGTTTCCGTTTTGCACGGCAAAATTAAACGAAGGTGGCGTGCTGTGGGGCTGGTAAGTTTCCTGCCACACTGAGCCATAACTTTATCTATCGCACCCGGCGCATGCGTTCTCAAGTACTGCGGCACTCGAGAAATAGCTAAATCACGCTTATCGCGCCGCCACATAAGCGAAATTCTCGCCGTACACGTCTACTGCCGTCTGATAGAACGAGGTCGGAACAAGAGAAAGGAGCTTTCTTTTCACTTTTCGTTCGTTTGTTGGCGCGGGATGAGTTCGCCCTAGCACGACGCGGCAGGTGCGCGGCAACACGGGCCGGCAAACGGCGAGACATCGCCAGTTTATTTACCTCATCGGCGTTTCCATCGCTGGAAGGAGCAGCAATAACATCGTCGTACAGATCCACGTTGGAATCGTGTTCATTGTAACCCTCCTACAGAAATTCAAACGGGAGAGAGAAAGATGAGCGTTCCGTTAGCAACGTCCCCGAAAAAATCGCCGGTGCTGAAAAAAACACAGCACCACTTTGCCGGAGAAAAACACAGCTGGGAGAGTTGCAAACAGCAAACAACTCGATTAAAAAACAAACAAAGTACGCAGCCGTACCTAGCGGCTGCTTTCTCACTTCCTAACCAATGCCGGCAAATACTAAAACGTGACCAGCCTGTGGAAACGCGGGCACCATCTTTGAAAGCCATGCCGCTAACGCGTCCGAAGATAATTTCGCGGAACAAACAAAACTTACTCGCACTTTGCGCAGCGCATGACTACGACTTAAACACCGAATCGATATCGCTACAACGCAAACAACGAGTACAAGTTCAGTACCACATTCATGCGTTATTTAGTTTAACTCCCTACGTCCGGCGAAAAACAATGGAGTTGCTTCAAATCTAAAGACGGGTTGCTGCTTCGTAGCACAGAATAGTGTCGCAAAAACGTCAAATCACGTAGTGACTAGAAATGCAACAGGATTGTATCTCCCACTGACTGGATAAGATATAAAGTGGTGCTTGCCTGGTTGAAGTCTTGCTCTAGGTCGTCGGCGTAGAGATCAATATCCACGCCGTCCGCCATTTTCTCGGCCTTCCCGACAAATTGCGGCGGATACGGCGGATCACTGAAGATCGTGGCGCCACCCTCATCCGTGTGATTGTTCGGTGAAATACGAGAACGCTTAAAAGAATGTGATTGTGGCTACTGTGAAGGTTTTTCTTTTACTAAGCAATATTTAAAAGCCTCCAAACAAAGCAGTTAATATCTGCTTTGCTCCTCAAAGGCATATTTCAACACTTTGTCTTCCAGTTGGTTGCAGGCGTGAAACTATGGTTCTGCGACCATGGAGTTTGCGTGTAAAGTTTAAATCCGCGTTTAAATCTGTTTAAACAACAGAAATAGCTGATGATGTGGATGATGACCTCATATGAATGGCGCTCACCCACAAATGTAAATAGGCCAAAAACCATGTGGAAACTAAAACCAATCTATAAAATTACTTTCGAGATATCACTTTGAAAAAATAAAAATGCTTACTAAGCAAGAGGCTAGACCATCTCTGTTTCCTGATAGAAATAACGACGAATTACAAACTAGGTATCTGATAAACTGTTCTGTAAAAAAAAACACACACACGGTAATATTTTTGCTGCTTTGATCATGTAGTCAAACACAGAGCGCACATATTCCTATGGCAGTAACCTAATGAAGTTCCGCTTAAATACTGTAACATTTACTAATATTCCTAATTTCTGAAATGGGGCTTATAGGAATATTTTTCTCTTATAACAATAGCTACGACAGAAAACGAATAATGTTCGATTCTCTTAATTTTGTCGCAAAAGTTGCACCACGGTGCGACTGACAAAGTTGCCGCAAGTTGCATGACGATAGTTATATTGGATTGGATAAACTTTTATTTGGTCCTCCAAAACACAGATCACTGTGTTGCGGGCAGCTCCCACGTGGGGACTGAGATGCCAAGCTCCTCAGCCACCTCGCGGGCTTGGTGGACAGCCCAGAGCTGATCTGCCAAGGACGAGCTGCGGATTGCCGCCTCCCATCTGGCAGAGGTGATGTTCGATATATGAGCGAATTTGGTGCACTGCCAGAGCATGTGTTCTAATGAAGCTATTTCCCCACAATGTGGACAAAGATTACTTGGGTATAGGTCAGGGTACATAATGTGTAACATTTTCAAAGTAGGCTACATCCGCGTTGGCAAAAGCCTTAATGTAAGTGATTGGGGCCGGGTTAGATTTTTGTGAGGTGGAGGGAAAATCCTTCTAGACAGGTAGAAATGTTTAGTGAGCTCGTTATATGTTGTAAGAATTTCCCGGTTATCCCCTTCACCGGTAGAACGCATCCCCGGAGAGGCGCGGTTGGAGAGATCTCGCGCCGCCTCGTGTGCTGCTTCATTGAGATTGGGAGGGGAATCGTTGATTTGCCCAAGGTGAGCTGGAAACCAACTCAGAAGATGATGCGTTATGTTCTTGCCTTGCAGTATTCTCAACGTTTGTTCAGAGACCGTCCCCTTGGCGAAAGCCCGTAGTGCTGCCATGGAATCACTGTAGACGACTTTTAATGTTATCCATCTTGAGTGCTAAGGCGATGGCCACCTGTTCCGCAATGATTGGGTCTTTCGTCCTGACCGTCACTGAGTTGACGACATGGCCAGCCCCATCGACCACCACAGCCACAAACGCTTTCCCATTGGCGTAAAAAGCCGCGTCAACAAATACGACCCCTCGTTCCTCATTTGAGACTTGACGAAGTATAGTCCTGGCCCTCGCTATTCTTCTTCCGACGTTGTGTTCTGGATGCATGTTTCTTGGTATAGGAGACACCGTGATATTCTCCCTGATGTTGTCGGGGATATCATTGTAATTGCGTCTGATTGCCATTGGGTGTTGGCCCAGCTCCTGCAGGATCATTCTCCCCGACCTTGTTGTAGATAACCTTGCAAACTGTGCTCTCTCTTGGGCTTCTGCTATTTCTTCGAGCGTGTTGTGAATGCCAAGCTCAAGCAGACGCTCGGTGCTGGTATGTATGGGTAGGCCCAGGACCTTCTTGATAACTTTCCTGAGGAGCACATTCAGTGTCTCGGACTCTGCTCTTGACCAGTTGTGCATTGCTGCCTCGTACGTGAAGTGGCTTAGAACAAACGCATGCATCAACCTGATGAGGTTGTCTTCCTTGATCCCATTTCTTTTGTTGGCCACTCTGCGTATGAGGTGCACCGCACTGTCTGTTTTCCAAGTTAACTTGGCTATAGATTTGCTGTTGGTGCCGCTAGACTCTATCAGCATGCCCAGGACTTTGATGGAGTCGACCCTCTTGATGACATCCCCTTGATTTGTACGGAGGTGGATGTCTATCTGGTTTAACGGCTTCCATCCCCTGGGCTTCGGTCCCCGGCGTGCAGTCCGATACAGTAAAAGTTCTGACTTACTCGAGGAGCACTTGAGCCCAGAAGGACGAAGGTACTCTTCTACGGTATCAATCACCTCTTGCAGGGCGCTCTCAATCTGCCCCTCGCTTCCACCTGTGCACCAGAAAGTAATGTCATCTGCGTAGATGCTGTGCTTCAATCCTTCAATGCTCGATAATTTCTTTGACAGTCCAATCATGGCAATGTTTAACAGCATTGGTGAAATCACTGCTCCTTGCGGCGTGCCCCTTGCTTCTAGTTCGATTGCTGCGGTTTCGATATCTGTAATCTTCATCACGGCTTTCCGATCTGTAAGAAAGGACCATACGTAGTCATAGAAGGCTTTCCCCAGACCAAGCTTAGAAATTGCTTCGAGTATGAATGAGTGGTGGATGTTGTCAAACGCTTTTTCTAGATCTAGGCACAGAATGGCTCTCACGTCTCTGGTTTTGTTGTCGATGACCTGGTGTTTGATAAGCTTCAATGCATCTTGTGTGGATAGCCCTGCCCTGAATCCAACCATATTGTGTGTATATATGTCGTTATCTTCCAAGTACTTGTTTATCCTGTGCAGTATGGCATGTTCTGCAACCTTGCCGATACATGATGTCAAGGATATTGGCCTCATGTTGTCCAAGTTAGGGGGCTTTCCTGGCTTAGGAATAAGGATCGTCCTGGCCAGCTTCCACTGCTCTGGCACCCTGCCTTCTTTCCATGCTGCATCGATCATATCCTTCAGGGTTTCAATTGAATCGTCATCAAGGTTACGAAGGGCCTTGTTTGATATACCGTCCGGGCCAGGGGCCGACCTGCCGTTGAGATCATGCAAGGCTCTTCTGATCTCCTCGATGTTAAAGTCGCCCTCAAGACCGGGATTGGGCCTGCCCTGGTACTGTCTACTTGGTGGTGCCAGTCCTGTTTTGATTGGGAGGTACTTATGCACGAGCCGCTGCACAACTTGCTGTTCTGTAGTGCGCCCTAACTCTTTATGCGAAATTCGAGCGATAACATGCTTTTGATTTGTTTTGGTGGTGTTTTCGTTCAGGAGATGCTTTAACGTATTCCATGTCTTGCCATTGTGCATCTGACCATCGACGGAGTTGCAGATTTCGTCCCATTGCTGCCTGGATAGTGCGCGACAATGTTCCTCGACTAATCTGTTTACCTCAGCTATCTTCTTCCTCAGTCTTCGGTTCAGGCGCTGACCCTTCCAACGGTTCAGTAGTGCTTGCTTTGCCTCAAGAAGATGAGCGAGCCGGCTATCCATTCTTTCAACCGGAAAATCGGTGGTAATGGTGGAGGAGACGGATTTGATGTCATCTTTAATCTGTTTGACCCACTGCTCCAAGCCTTGTCTGTGGCCATCTTGTTCCCTTTCCATCCTTATCTTCCTGAACTTATCCCAGTCTGTGAAGTGGAATTCTCTCTGCTTTTTACGCTCCACGGAGAAGGTAGTGGCAAGAATACAGTGGTAACTCCCTAGGTCTACAGCAAGGTTCATCCACTGGGCCTTCTTGATGTTCCTTACAAATGTAAGGTCCGGGGTGGAATCCCTGCAGCAACATGTACCAAGCCTTGTTGGTAGGCTGGGGTCTGTGATTAGGGTGAGATCAAGTTCACTGGCACTTTGCCAAAGTCGATTTCCTTTCCCAGTGTTGTACTTGTAACCCCATGTATGATGAGGGGCGTTGAAATCACCTGCTATGACGAGTGGGCATTCCCCGGCGATATTAACAGCTTTCTTCAGAACTGTCTTGAACGCTTGCTTTTGTTCCTTTGGACTGCTGTATATATTAAGAATGAAAATGCTCTGACGGTTGCTGGTACCTGGCACGATCTCTACCATGACGTGTTCCAACCGGCCTGCTTCTATCTTGAGGTCGTGGGTTACGTGTGTTAGTTTGTTGCATACGAAGATGCAGACTCCCCTCCCTTCAGTAACCCCTATTACAGGCCGGAATCCAGGCAACGTTGTTTGCGGTGAAAGGGTCTCTTGTAATAATATAATATGAGGCTTTTCTTGACTGCTCCTGATATACTGCTGTAGGGCTGCCTTCTATTTAAGGTAACCTCTACAGTTCCATTGCCAGATACGAAATGCTTCACGTAGCGCTGCCATCATGGTTATTACATGGACGGCCAGAGCCTGATGCTGCACCTGTCGACAGGTTTGGTACCACTAGTATTGGTGGCCGAAGGGGTGAGCTTGGTGCATGAGGAGGCCTTGCTGTATTGTGCAGATATGCTTCGACCTTTGTAATGCGCAAAGTCATATGCTCTTCCAGTGCCGCCACGCTTGACTGTAGCCTACCCATCTGCTCGCTTAGATTGGCTACTACTTTGCTGAGCGTGTCAAAGACCTCTTTCATATCTGACATGGTCGTTTGGTTGGCTTCCGCGTGTTCTGCCATGACTGCCCTCTTTTTTTTGTGGTTCTCGAGTCCCCCACGTTTTCAGCCACAGGGACATCAACTGGCTGAGGCATTGGCTGTGAAGATTGCACGCTGGTTAGCTTAGTGAGAAGAATTTTTATTTCCTTTAACTCAGCTGATAGCCTCTCATTCGATTTTGTAAGTCTCGCGTTTTCTTGCTCTAGCTGTGCGATTCTATCATGCTCTGGCAGCTTACCTGTCATCACCTCTGCCGCTCCGTTGCGCACTCGCTCAGCCCAGCTGCCA